TTTTTGTTGTAAACCGTTTAGACAGCACTTTATTTGAAAAGCTAAATATTGAGTGGGAGAATTTGAGTATGTACCTTCTCCAGTGTCCAACTCATACCTAATAGAAGCATTGGTGGGGGGGAATGGTCTGTTTTGTCCTTAATGTTTAGACAACTCAAAGCAGACCAGAAGTCTTTGAAATGATATTTTCCTTTGTAGACCTAGTCTCCGTGACCCGCTAATATTTGCTGTTAATTTGGTTTTCAAAATGATTCTTCAAGGACCTTCCTAAGAAGAAGCATTATACTTGCAATACAGTGCAGACTGCCCTATTTGGTTGCAAGCTGCTGAAGAGAGTAGTATGTTGTGTGTTGCAGCTATAGGAGTACAGCTTTTAAATATTTTTACAATTTTTCTGTCCTGAAGAACAGTGAAATACTGGTCTGAATGCTAGTATTTGATGATGAGCTCTCCCATCGAGGGTGTTAGTGTTCGCAGATAAAAGAGCACTTCAGAACTGCAAGGAAGTACACAAATGTAAGGTGCCATTATCATTTATTTTATTGGAAAATAGAAGCCTAGCCCACCCCCCCAAAAAAAGACTTGCCTTTTTTTTTTTTTTTTTTTTTTTTTTTAATACATTGAAAAGGGATCATGAGAAAGAAATGCTTCCAATAGGAATGCTGGCCAGTGGTTGTCAGTTTAGGACATTCTTCACTGTCAAATCCTGTTTCTCACTTCTTTGATATGAACATCAGCTGACAGGCACTGAATGCAAAGCCTTCTTCATTGAGGTTTTATGCAGGCAACATAGCTCTTCATAGCAAAGCAGTCTGAAAAATTGGCACCTGCAGGATTTGCATGTGAAAAAAAATGAGTCAGTTGCATTTTAGTGGAGTCTATTACTGTAAGTTATGTAAGTTCAGTGAGAAAAGCTATTTATTTGTTGCTGTTTGGGCATTTCAAAGTTCTTTGTTTTATGGACACCTTATTCTTCATGTAGTGATCCACAGATTTTATTGATAGCAGAAGCAGGGAGAAGTGATCTCTGGCTTTATAGAAGTTATTTATTGTGGAGTGAAGTAATTTTTAACCATGTGCTTATAGAGTGCACTTACATTCATAGTTAATTTTTTAAATGTGGCTTAAAAATAATGAACTCCTATAACTTTCAGGTTAATCTATCAGAAGTTAAGTACATAAAATGAAGTGAACATAAATATCCTTTGAAAGCAGTCTAGGACTTTAAGAGTTCTATACTAACAAGTTAAAATCTACCAGAAAAAAAATTAAACCTTCCATTTTTCTAAACGTCTGGAAAAAGCGCCCCCCGCCGACACTTGGTTAATTGTCTCCAAAGTGCCTTTTAAACATACCATATTTGACCCCATTTATTTAAAAATATCATATTTGACCCCAGAATAATGAACAAATGTTAAATCTACTAAAGCAGCTTTGTGAACCTGGTATTATCCATCACTTGGAACATTTTATCCAGAATAAGTTATTGTTACCAAAAGAGACACCTTCCAACTTCACTTTTTTATAGCCATTAATATAAGGGTTCCTAAATAATGTTTAAAGAACAGTGAACATTTTATTAAAGCAAACATTAGTTCAGTTTAATGGAGGTAATTGTAAGTGATAAGACAGAGCAGGTTATCTCTGTGTTGTTTAAACAGAAGGAGCTACTTTGCACCATTTCCAGTAGCCATCTGTAGAAGAGAAGGGTTTGCACCTGTCTGTCCACACTAATTATAGATTAGGGCCAAAGAAATGAAATTCGAGAAGGTTTTCAGCTAATGAAATCCATACTGATTTTATTGTAAATGTGTTTTATGTAAAGAGGGTGATGGTTGAGTTATGAGTGAATAAATCGGTGTGTAGCTGTTAGGCACTTGGTTTTGAAGCACAATTCTGCTGCATTAACCTTTGATATTAAAAAAAGAGAGAGAGAGACCAACAACTTAGACATGGATGCTAGCCTTTGTTTGGCATCCATAGCTACAATTTAGTGAGCAGCAGTGAGGTTCAGTGTGCAATTGAAAAATGTGCTGTAAAGCAGCTTAAATGTTAAGAATATTCTAATATTTTGAAATACAGATGAAGTAGAAGGTAGGTTTTGTTTTAACTTAGGCACATAAAACATTAGAAAATTAGAAACCTTTTTTCTTTTTTTGTGCATTTCAGTTTCATGTCCATGAGAAATTAAAGCAAAATGAGTGAGGAATGCATTCTGCAATAAAAGGTCACATGAATGTCTACCACATCTGTTTATAGTAATTATGAACATAATTAACATAAGAATTACAAATGAAATAATGACAAGCTGAGCAATGAGATATTATGCCATAATGGTCATATGTTGGAATTCTCACATTATAGCACACTAGAATTCACATACTCAAAGAAAGAAAGAAAATGCTAGATTTTTATCTGAATTAATGCTTCAAAACTTATCTGCCTGGGGCAGATGGACTTCTTGCTTTTATAGGAAGGTAACCTATTATTAAGAAAAGAACTAGTTGAAATTAAGATTTCTAGTCTCCAGCTTGGACTTTAAGACAGCTGTGATTATAGAAACCACTTTCTGTTGTACACTTATTCTGTGATTATACTTCTTGATTATTATATTGCGCTTTTTTTTTTTTTTTAAATTGAAAGCTTTGCAGCAAAGTGTTTGCTTTGGAAGAGAGTCATGGATTCTTCCCATTTGAGAATTGGTTGATCTTTTCTAGAACTGTGAGCCAAAAGTCAATGAACAAACAAGGTAGTAATAGAAATACTGTGCTTTTATAAAATAAGAACATTGACAGATTAGTTTTTTGCACAGTTTTCTTCATGCCTTTAATGTTTGGATGCTTTTAAAAGAAAATGTAAACCTTTTTTGGGTTTGAAAGTAGTAGTGCATTGTTTTGTTTTTTTAAATAGCGTTTTTTTCCCCCAAAGAGCATGTAATGGAAAAATCAGTAATCATTTGTAAGTTGTATTTTTTTCTTCCTAGAGTTGTGTTGGATTTACAGGCATTTACATGTAGTCTCTGTCCAAATTGATCTAACTGAAATGTAATAAAGAGGAAGGTATGTGTGATTGCATCTGGTTATTCTGAATGCAGTTTTCTATAACAGCTAGAGAAAAGGTGAAAGGTGAGCTTTTATGAGAACTAAAATGGTACTCCAGAAATCCGTTATTAAATTTAAAACATGTTAGAATGGCCGATTTTCACCCATTTAAAGTTCACTTGATGTTGTAATGTGCCCTGCCAAATGGCTTACTTCCTACCCTTGCACCCCTCTCTCTCTATTGAACCTGGACACTTTTTGAAGATTTATGGAAAAATATTACCTTGTTCTCGTCTCAGTGATACCATGAGGTTTTCCACGTTATTGGATTACTGGAGGATTGTGGCAGACCCCTTTTTATCTGACATTCATTGCATGACAAGATTTTTCACACATGCCCTTCCCCCACCTAGGTCCAGCTTATTTTCACTCTGTCTTACCTATCAAATTTTTCTGAATTCTCCTCTTGGCGTGGGAGCATGGGGCTGGGGCTGGGGGGGTGGGGAGGCCACCACCCATGCAGCTGTTTTTTGGTTAAGTGTTTTGGAGGGGGGTGGTCAATTAAACAATGCCTCTCATCAAATTTGCCTCTAAGAGACTCTCCCTTTTCTTTTTCTCTATTAACTAGCCTTACGCTTCCCTCTCCTCTACCATTTTGTCCCTTAACCAAGACCCATGCATACACTGTGTTATAACCCAGCTTGTCACTGCAGCTGGGGCTACAGTGTATGTCATGAACAATTATGCAGTTTATTGGCTACTTTGTTCTGAACTTGCTCTTGATACTGCATGAGAGCTCCTTAACCAAGCTTCAGTGTCTTGAAATGCAACACAGCCAAATACTCCCCCTTCCCCCAATAAAATAACCTTCTTTGCTGCATTATCTGCACTCCATTAAGGATCTGATCAGATGTTCAGATTGTCTGATGGGCGCATTTAAAAGTGAAAAGGGGCTCCCATGGGACTACTCAGGTGTATCTCCCTCCTGACCCTGATGGGGTGGAGGATGAACTCTGGTCTGACGGAGGAGCATTAGCCCTTGCTTGTGTTCTGATTGATTCTCGGGCGCTGGGTGGGTGAGGAGCTGTGAAGCAGCTCAGGCCAAGATTGATAGCCTCAATTTCAAATTCCCACCTCCAAAATAGACTCTTAGATGTACACATAGGGAACCCCCTCCCCCCACACAATTTCTGGAGGTGGAGCAGGTGTCTAGGAGTCACCTGTAGCTACCAATCACAAGTGGTCCTTCTTATCACAGTGATGCTGGCAGCACAAGTCTTCTGCTGGGACACTCTCAAGCCCAGGGCAAGAGATTTTCTGTCTGTTGGTGTGGGTTGGGGGGTGTGGAATTTCGGGGTATTGGGGCCAAGGAAGAGAGGGACAAGAACTTCCACTCGTGGTTGGTCTGGAAGGCTGCTTAACAGCTGTGAGGGCTCAAATAGGTTTGTTTTGCAAATTGTGGCAATTGGGCTGGAGGTGAGATGGTGAATGTCTCATTGTTATGCTCTGCCAAAAAGGGAGCTCTTGATCCCTTCTGACCTTGACAGGACCTCCAAAATGTTCAGTCTGGCCCTGGAACAGGGAAATGCAGTTGGCTAGTCTGGATTCCTTCCCTTTTCTTGGAGGAGGGGCAGTTTGGGGGATATAAGCAAACCCCCCATCCCCCGGCTGTCACCCTCCGCCGGCTTTGGGGTCCCTCACGCCCACTTGCTGCCCCCATCCTGGGGCCCGAGCTCCCACCTCCACCATCCCTTTCGGTTTCTTCCCTCCAGCCTGTGCCTCTTCCCTCTCCCTCTCTCCCTCTCTCTCTCCCACTTTTCCTCCCTCTCGCGCTCCGTCTCACACGCACCCTCTGTTTATTTTCCTGCCTCCATCTGGGCCCTGCTGATATTGTAATCACCCTGATGCACGTTGGCTTCTCTCCTCTCCCTCCTGCGCTCACACACTCACTCACACACAATGTGCCATCCTGACAAGCCTTTTACTTCTGATAAGCTCCGATGTGTGTTTAATGAATACAAAGCCGCGGTCTGGGTGCCGCCTCGGCTGCGGCCGCCTCTCCTGCGCTCCTTTGCCAGAAGGTAATCTCCGTGAACGGGGAGGGGAGGCGAGCGGGGAGGAAGGAGGGGTGGGGAGGGGGGGGTGGGGGGAGCGGGGAAGCTGCTTTTCTCTTTCCCTCTCTCCCTTTCCAAATGATTCAGAAGTCGATAAGACCAGGAGAAGTGAAGATGTAACATGTTATCTGTCGCTCCTCTTAGCGGGCGGAGAGAATTTACATTTAAAGATTAGCAGAGGGAGAAAGAGAAATCTGCCTTTTGTTGTGCGGGGTGAGAAGGAGGCATCAGTCCTGGCCTGGACGCTATCTCCCATCACCTCTGCTATCCAGACAGGACTCACCGAGGTGAGATTACTGGAGGGCCTTATCTTTAATTGGGTTTAGTTTTGCCAGTCTGAATAGGTTTAAAGAGACTCGATAAAGGGGGAACAATAGATTTATTTATTGACTGAACGCTGAAGCCTTTAGATGAAGAGGGGGAGAGAAGAAGCTGCTTAACAACTTGATTAGTTTATTTTAATTTTTATTTTAAGGTGAGCTTGTCTCTCTCCTGGTACAGGGAAGGGCCATAGAACTTAGGGGAAATTGAATGACGGAAACGTCTTCTTTCCTCTTTACCCCCCACCCCTGCCCTTCTCAGCACCATCTCCCTTATTTTAACAGGAGTTTCATTTACCCCCTTGTGTTTCGGACTGATACACTAAGCAGAAAGGGTAGTGGCTTTTGGAATTGATCATCGGTGTTGGGTTTTGTGTGACTTGTTTTGAATGGGTGTTGAACTGATGCTAGTGGTGGTACTTGAATGAGTGAGAAAAGCAAATGTAGACTACTTTTAATATGCAGTTAGTCGATTTGATAGTATGGTTTCAACATGGTTTAGAGAAAAAAAAAATCATTCTGACGCCGTCAGGTAGATTTGTGTTTTGGATTTGAGACACGGAATATTTTCCCTTGGAGTGGGTTTAAAAAAAAAAAAAAGAAGAGTAAAAAAATATATATATATATTATTGACTCATGAGTGTATTTCTTAAAATTACAGTGTCAACTTTGTAATGTTTTTAAAATGGATAAAAGTGAAAAAATATTGTTTGCCTCATACACATAATCGAGATAGGTGTTTCCATAGGTAAATAGGATCCAGTAACTAAAAAGCCTAATTAAAATTTGTTTAAAGCCTTGGGGGGGGCATGTTTCCTTGTTGACAGCGGCAGATCGATTGGGTAAGACAATAGAGTCCCATTATTTCACTTCCATTGACTGAACATATTGACATTTCAGGTTTGCTGTTGCCTCAGTGAGCGTGATGAAACACTGAAATTCGCAGACCAACTGGTCAGAGCGGCACATGTATTACTGTATGTCATTTCTGCCTTCAGGTTACCTTATCACCCAGGCAGAATGGGAGCGGACAGCCTGGAATCCTTCAGAAGGGGTAGAGCTCTTTTGGCTAAGAAACGGACAGGTTGCATGTCTTAGGAGCACCTTTAATTTTACCCAGAATTGGAGGTTACGGAGCAATATGGGGAGCACTTTTACTGAAAAATCTGAGAAGCATCCTAGCTATTAATCTTGTACGTAGTACCTATAAGAATACCCATTTTCAAGATTTCCCTTTACCTCCTCTGGCGGTGTCTATAGGGAGCGGTTGGTCACATCATTTAGGTGATTGCCAGCTTGTGCTTGGGTGAGACCTGTTCTTTCCCAGTTCGGGGTACTCAAACATTAAAGCACCTACTGAAGCTGTCTCTGATAAAAAGAATGTGTAAGGCCCCTTCCAAAAATAGAGCCTGACTTTGACTTTTTTGTTTCTTGTTTTCTTTTGGTGGTTGGAAAATGAAGATGGGATGTATATGTATTTTATGCCCATAGACATGCATAGACAGTAACATGTCAAAATAAACATGTGTATATTCCAGGCAGAGGCAGAGAAGATAGTAAGTATTGTCCTTATCTTAGTGTAATCTTCCCTTTTTTACATTTTACATAGTCTTTGCATAATATAGCTAAGTATTAGGGAGAATTAAGTCAAAGAAATTTGAGTCATACAAAAGTGAGTATGGGAAGAAAACCAGAAGGGACTTAACATATATTTTTTAAAAGTTTAATGAAAATATAAACCTATGATGAATATGCTTTATACACAGCAATTGTTGCCATCAAGTAGGCAACTGATGCCCTTTGCAGTGTTTAGAACAAAACTAGTCCTTTATACCATTTTCATGAAAATGTTAGGTTTCTATTTGATCAGCAGGTGCTGTTGAGATGAAAGCCATGTGTAAATTTTCAGAAGGCCAAAAGTGTCAATTCAGAAAAGGAAAGTGATAAGAGAAAATGCAATCAGTTTTCCTGTTTTCAATTTGTGCAGGATTTGAAGAGCTGTTTTGTTAAACTGCTACATCTGCTCCAATATGAATATTGAACTACTTCCACTAAAAATAACAGCCTATAATTTGGAAGCTACTGCAGTCTTTTGTTAGTGTGAGTGGGTTATTTAAAAACAAAAAAACAAAAAAAATAAAAAAAAAATAAAAAAAATAAGACAATTTTCTATTCTGACAATCTCTTGCTTAATGTGCATTTTCATTTGTTGGCACTTTTATCCTCAGCAGATAAATGGTATTATGCAATTAGGACCTCATCTTGTTTGACTATGAAAGAGGTTTCCATAGGTGACAATCCTGGTAATATAAAAAGGGTTCACACAAAGCAAAATTTATTTTTAAATAATCTGTTTAAATATAGTTATTTAAAACGAGATAGCTATTCCTTGCATTCTCTAATACTACAATTTTTAACTTACTGCTGACTATTATAACAAAGTTAACACTATTCTATTGCATAGTAAGCATCCTGTGATTTATTTTACCTTTAATATACCTGCAAATGTAAGTTTAAACTAATCAGGGATATTTTACCTAACAGGGCTTTCAGAATAATTTTTTTCATGCTTAAATAAAATGATTAAATTATGCTTGAGTGCCTGCATACAAAAGCTTTAGCTTCTATAGTACTGCTAATCAAATAAGTTTTATGGACAGGGAAAGCACCACATTAGAGAAAAATTGGGTGCATTTTACTAGTGACCTTTCTAGGAAAGACAAGTTCTTTGTAAATCATCTAGTATTAAGGAAGAAGAAAACTCTAACACATCTTAGATAATCATAATACAGATAATACTTCATCCCTTTAATAAGAAAATGAATGGCATCGCTATCCATGTAAAACTGGGCATAGAGAATTAAGGGAGAAGGAAGACTGATGAAATTTGGATCAGGTTCAATATTGACTCTATCCACAATTGCTATTGGGTTGACTTGTGGCTAGAGTAATTTGTCCAGGTTGAGACGTGATCACTGCTTAGGATCAATTGGAGGCTATGTAGCTTTGTGGCTTTACACTTGAATGACCAGACACACTCTTCACAGCTAAACTCAGAGTATCTCCAGGATGGATTAAGGGGGAGACAGACATTGGGACACAGGAGGAGGATGGATATTAACAAATGCGATGTTTCTTCTGCACCACCAACTGAAAAGTAGTGGTTTGAAGAACAGTACTGTGTGTGTGTACCTGTGATCCGTGTCTGTAATCAGCCAACAAATAATGCTTTTAAGCAACGTAATTTCCAGTTTGAATCCAAATTGTAGCATATTGTGCTGGCATATCTTTCAGAGACCCGGGCAGCCACGTGGGTGGATTCCCTGGTACAGCACCAAGTACTTTGCCACTTTCAAGAAATGGCGCTGAATCACAGATCGGTGTAAGAAAAGTTTATTTCACAGACACAGGCCCATCATTTTGGGATGTGATCTTCTAATGAGTTGTTTTGTGCTGGAGCCACATTCAGCGTTGAAGCCTCAGAACTTTATAAGGCACCAACAGGGGTCGGGCGGGGGGTGGGGAAGCCTCTTGCGCCTCTTTTCAAAATGTGCCTGCTTTAAAAAGTGATGTCCAGGCTCTGACATGAGAACCACTGATGCAGTAATGCCCCACGGTTGAGGTTTAAGGCACGAGACCCTCCTGTGAAGAAGGTTCAGACCGTCAGTGCTGCTGAGAGCCACTAACCTTTTTCATGGACTGCAAGAGACCAAGTTTTAAAAATCCCCCTGCTTCAATAGTTCTAATTGAGATTACCTTATAATGCAGCCCATGAGGGAATCAAGCAGGCATTCATTTTATAGATTTCATATTGGTCAGGCTCTCAAAGGCAAATCACCCTTTGGGTGACTAGGGCCTTGAGAATGAATGTAGATCTTGTTGAATGAGCACACAAATGTAAAAATTTCCCATTTGTCCAGCAATCTCAGCATCTTCAAGTGCCTTAGGGAATGTGATTGACTAGATTCATTAATTTTTTAACAGCTGGGTCATAGACCACTTCTGAGTGCGCTCTGGGCTTTCAAGGGCTGCCCCCTAGTTGTTGGTCTTGGGAGAGAGAGGAGGAACTGACAGATATTGGAGACCTACTCTGAGCCTGGGGTCCACCCTCACATGTATTGGCATCGCTGATTTCTAAGCAAATTATAAAGTAGCATTTGACTTCATTTCAGAGACTGGCTGTAGTTGGTCTTCTGGCTTGGCCTTTTGCCTCAATATGGAAAGCTGAGATTGCCTTGTGTCCCCAGTTTAATTACCTACTTTGTTCCCAAGTTCGAATAATTAGAGGCTTATTTTCTGAATACCTACCTGGCTTAAATATTCTCTTTAGCAGCCATAAGCCATGCATCCATTGTTTTCTTCTGCCCTTGCCCCAGCCTTGGAATCCCACTGGCTACTTACCGCCTGACAGCCAACCTTGGACACGCCCAAGAGTATGCCAGTTTGTATCCCTCAATACCTCCTAATCCAGGCTTTTCCATTACTAAATTCTATCCCTTCCTCCGAACACCACCTTCCTGCACTACACCGAAGCCATGAGGTATCAGACTGTTCCCTTTGTTGATCTCACGCGGCACTCTCGAGTTGTCTTCTGCCTAGTGTCCCTCATCTCGGTTGGTCATCTGCGTCTCCCAGTTCAGCCAAGGC